ACTGTCACTATGGCGGTGTGTCCACTCACAGGATGAGTGGCGCTGCCCAATACTGTCACTATGGCGGTGTGTCCACTCACAGGATGAGTGACGCTGCCCAATACTGTCACTATGGCGGTGTGTCCACTCACAGGATGAGTGACGCTGCCCAATACTGTCACTATGGCGGTGTGTCCACTCACAGGATGAGTGACGCTGACCAATACTGTCACTATGGTGGTGTGTTCACTCACAGGATGAGTGACGCTGCCCAATACTGTCACTATGGCGGTGTGTCCACTCACAGGATGAGTGACGCTGCCCAATACTGTCACTATGGCGGTGTGTCCACTCACAGGATGAGTGACGCTGCCCAATACTGTCACTATGGCGGTGTGTCCACTCACAGGATGAGTGACGCTGCCCAATACTGTCACTATGGCGGTATGTCCACTCACAGGATGAGTGGCGCTGCCCAATACTGTCACTATGGCGGTGTGTCCACTCACAGGATGAGTGGCGCTGCCCAATACTGTCACTATGGCGGTGTGTCCAATCACAGGATGAGTGACGCTGCCCAATACTGCCACTATGGTGGTGTGCCCACTCACAGGATGAGTGGCGCTGCCCAATACTGTCACTATGGCGGTGTGTCCACTCACAGGATGAGTGGCGCTGCTCTATACTGTCACTATGGCGGTGTGTCCACTCACAGGATGAGTGGCGCTGCCCAATACTGTCACTATGGTGGTGTGTCCACTCACAGGATGAGTGGCGCTGCCCAATACTGTCACTATGGCGGTGTGTCCACTCACAAGATGAGTGGCGCTGCCCAATACTGTCACTATGGCGGTGTGTCCACTCACAGGATGAGTGACGCTGCCCAATACTGTCACTATGGCGGTGTGTCCACTCACAGGATGAGTGGCGCTGCCCAATACTGTCACTATGGCGGTGTGTCCACTCACAGGATGAGTGGCGCTGCCACTCATTATGAGGGACGGAGGTTGAGGGAAGTCGAGGGGAGACTAGTAGGCTGTGAATAGATTACGGAGGATCAGAACAAGATCAATGAAAGCAGGAGGAGGAGTAGGATGATGAAGGTGGTGACAGAGAAACGTATTACTAATGCTGCCACCATCGTGTCAACATGAGGTCTACAAGCACAGCAATGTGACGGGAAACACTGCTTTACTGAGAAGTTTCTTCCCTTGATGTAATCTCTCACTGACAGTTATGTTAAACATCTGACACTGGAGAGTTTGGGAGGTTCAGTGGCCCTGATGACACACACGTGAGATGACACTGGACCAACTCCGTCACACATAAAGATGACAATTTAACAAGAGTTTTATTAAGTCAAAATTATTATATTCACCAAAAATACTGAGTCCCTACACACTGGCAGCTCCCTAAGTCACTGGCAAATGGTGAGTAATTTAGAGATGGAACAATGCATCAAAGATCACATATTAGTTTATGAAGCCACTGCCTCCCACCTATGGCGGCGTGATGACCTGCAGAACAGCTCTCATCACTTGTACCAGGCACTCTCACTTTTATCTCCCACACTCAGGGGACTTGTACACCCCACAACTACCCCACCATGTATCAGCTGGTTGGGGGGGGGGGGCGGTTAGCCAGCCTACAAGTGGGAGGCTTGTAGAGGTAGTCTGTTCAACATCAGCACTCCAGGAATTTTAATTAAAGCTTGATTGACATGACCATCGTTTACAGGGGGAAGACCCTCTATGTGAGATGAAACAGCATCTCATATAGGAATTTACTGTAATAAAAATTGTTTTTGAGACTAATGTCTTCGTGTCATCCTCTTGACCCTTACACCTCTCAAGGAAGGGAGATTAATTATGGAAGAACCTAAGAACATAAGAATGAAGGTAACTGCAGAAGGTTTATTGACCATTACGAGGCAGCTCCTATTTATAACCACCCAATCCCACTCGTATACATGTCCAACCCACGCTTGAAACAATCAAGGGACCCCACCTCCACCACGTTACGCGGTAATTGGTTCCACAAATCAACAACCTGTTACCGAACCAGTATTTACCCAAGTCTTTCCTAAATCTAAACCTATCCAGTTTATACCCATTGGTTCGTTTTCTGTCGTGTGTTGATATTTTTAATACGCTATTAATATCCCCTTTGTTATGTCCATTCATCCACTTGTAAACCTCTATCATGTCACCCCCTAACTCTTCGCCTTTCTAGAGAATGTAATTTAAGCTTTGTTAATCTTTCTTCACATGACATTTCAAATTTGAGGGATTAACTTAGTCATCCTACGCTGGACACGTTCAAGTGAATTTATATCCATTCTATAGTACGGCGACCAAAACTGAACTGCATAATCTAAATGGGGCCTAACCAGAGCAAGATATAGCTGAAGAACCACACCAGGTGACTTGTTACTAACGCTTCTATTAATAAATCCCAGTGTCCTATTTGCCATATTACGAACATCCATGCATTGATTTTTTTGGTTTTAAATTCTTACTAACCATAACTCCCAGATCCCTTTCGCAATCCGACTTCGCAATCTCAACACCATCTAGCTCGTATCTTGTAACTATCATCATTACCTAGCCTCAGAACTTTACATTTATCAGCATTAAACTGCATCTGCCAATCTTTTGACCATTTCAAAACCCTATTTAGATCGTCTGGAAGTGATAGTGAGTCTTTTTCCGAGTTTATTTCCCTCACGATTTTTGTATCATCGGAAAATTTGTAAATGTTGCTGCTCAAACCTGAATCTAAATCATTTTTATATATTATAAACAACAGAGGTCCCAGTACAGAGCCCTGAGGTACTCCACTAACAACATTATCCCACTCTGACTGAACCCCATTTATACTAACTCTCTGTTTCATTTGGAATAGCCATGCCCTAATCCAACTTAATATAGCACCCCCAATACCATGAGCCTCTATTTTTTTAATCAGTCTTTAATTGTGGCACTGTATCAAAAGCTTTGCTAAAGTCAAGGTACACAACATCACAATCCTTACCACTATCAACTGCCTCAACTATCCTGGAATAAAAAGATAGTAAGTTTGTTAAACATGAACGGCCATTTATAAAACCATGTTGCGACTCATTTAATAATTTATGTTTGTCAAGAAGACGAATGGTATTTGTAATTATCGATTCAAGTATCTTTCACAGGTACCTGATGTCAGACATCTGCAGATGTCTGACATCAGGTACCTGTGTAAAAATGTCGTCAACATACCTGCAGTATATGGCCGGTTACAAGTTCATGTCGACTAAGATCTTCTATTCGATGGTACCCATGTAGAAGTTCGCAAACAGGACACCTAGGGGAGAACCCATGGCGACCCCATCTACTTGCTTATACATGTGCCCATCCGGGCTCAAGAAGGGTGCCTCTTTAGTACAAGCTTGGAGTAGTTTCCTTAGAATGTTTTCTGGTAAGTCAAGAGGAGTACTTGAAACCGGCCATATACTGCAGGTATGTTGACGACATTTGTATACAGGTACCGGATGTCGGACATCTGCAGGAGCTGAAGGACAAACCCTTAACTTGTTCCCACTAGGCACAAAAAGTTCTATCCAAATACCTCACCTGGGAATCTCCTACAACCAAGATTCGCTTAGGTACTTCCTTTACTTTTATGAGCACCTTGAGGGACCTGCGCTAACTTCGTTGCCTTCCCTTTCAAGTGAACTACAGGCTCCCCACAGTACTCGTCCTCCATCACGGTGAATGAGTTTGAAGTCTTTAGAATATCTGTAGACGTCTTTGTTAAATTCTTCTTAAGACCCGTGTCCTTTACGACATTCCACGACGACGACGACTTTCTTCTGCTGCGTTGCTCATTTGCTGCTTCTTGACGGTGTTTCGTCTGTCTTGACTCCTTCATCTGTGGGAGCTCCTCCCGCCGGGTGTCCACCTCTGCCCTCAGAGCTCCACCCAGCTCCCTCACCAGCACCAGTTCACCCACTACAACTTCCATTTTCAGTATCAGGACAACTGGAGCTCCAGCTACACACCTTCTCACTGGGACTAACTGAGATAAAGTCTACATAGTGATAAAGTCACTAGAAAGGAGACGTGAGAGATATCAAATAATATACACGTGGAAAATACTGGAGGGTCAGGTCCCAAATCTACACAGTAAAATAACAACGTACTGGAGTGAACGGTATGGAAGAAAATGCAGAACAGAAGGGTGGGTGTTTGGTGCCATCTAGCACGCAACACCATCCAGCTCGTGTCTTGCAACTCTATCATCATCACCTTGTCTCAAAACCTTACATTTGTCAGCTTTACACTGCATCTCCCAAGCTTTTGACCACTTTAAAACCTTATTTAGATCGTCTTGAAGTAATAGAGAGTCTTTCTCCGTGTTTATTTCCCTCTAAATAAACACGGAGATGGGTGAGGGAGGAGAGAGAGTGAGAGACAGAGAGAGAGAGAGAGGAAGAGAGGGAGAGAGAGAGAGGGAGAGAGAGAGAGAGAGAGAGAGAGAGAGAGAGAGAGAGAGAGAGAGAGAGAGAGAGAGAGAGAGAGAGAGAGAGAGAGAGAGAGAGAGAGAGAGTATAGTCATGACGTGTGAGGCAACCCTCGGGGTGAGGGCCTGACCCTAACCTGACTCGGGCCTAGCCAGGAATGTCTCCATTAAGATGTTTGCAAACTAAAACAAACTCGTCCTCACTTCAACGACCCTGCAGGAGACGCGAGGTCACCTGGGCTGACCTCTGGGAGGCCTCCCTGGGTGGTGCAGCACCTGGTGTTAACGACCATTCAACCAGTGCATTGAGAACGAACTGGTTTCACCACTGTAACAGCTAGCAGGTAAACAAGCAGGAACAACCCACCTGCGTTGTAGCGCAGACCAGAGTGTCTTCAAGGTCTCGTTCAGGTGAACAGCGAGGCGCGTTGTTGCGCGCGCTGCGGGACTCGCCGCGCGCTACACCACTCCCTTCTCCTGATGTTTACTGCTCTAAGTTTAGTGTTACAATCTCATCAGAATTACTTTTTATTGAATTGATATGAATGCTTATTATCATAATGTTTATTATCATGTTTGTTATCATAATGTTTGTTATCATAATGTTTGTTATCATAATGTTTGTTGCCATAATGTTTATCATAATGTTTGTTATCATAATGTTTGTTACCATAATGTTTATCATAATGTTTGTTATCATAATGTTTGTTACCATAATGTTTATCATAATGTTTGTTATCATAATGTTTGTTACCATAATGTTTATCATAATGTTTGTTATCATAATGTTTGTTATCATAATGTTTGTTATCATAATGTTTGTTACCATAATGTTTATCATAATGTTTGTTATCATAATGTTTGTTACCATAATGTTTATCATAATGTTTGTTGCCATAATGTTTGTTATCATAATGTTTGTTATCATAATGTTTGTTACCATAATGTTTGTTATCATAATGTTTGTTATCATAATGTTTGTTACCATAATGTTTATCATAATGTTTGTTGCCATAATGTTTGTTATCATAATGTTTGTTATCATAATGTTTGTTACCATAATGTTTGTTATCATAATGTTTGTTATCATAATGTTTGTTACCATAATGTTTATCATAATGTTTGTTGCCATAATGTTTGTTATCATAATGTTTGTTATCATAATGTTTGTTACCATAATGTTTGTTATCATAATGTTTGTTATCATAATGTTTGTTACCATAATGTTTATCATAATGTTTGTTGCCATAATGTTTGTTATCATAATGTTTGTTATCATAATGTTTGTTACCAATGCTTTTTATCATAATGTTTGATGTTTATGCATGTTTTATTGTAATATTTGTTTTGTTAATGCATGTATACATTTCCCTCATTCACAAGTTTTGTTAACATTGACATGTGGTCAAGTTAGCGTTGTTCAGTTGTCAGCTTGGAGCTATCATCATCTTCCCCCCCCCCCAAGCCAAGTGTCCGATACTGCGTCCATTTTAAGTCTGTCTATACTGTCCTGTGAGGCTCCAAGTGTGACCCTATCCCCTAGTCATCTTACACTTGTCTGTGTGTTTCTAAATGTTGCTCTTCAGTCCTTTCTCTAAATATATATCTATAAATTACAATGTCTGACTAGCCAAGGTTGGAGGCTAGGCGCTTGGGAATGACCTCACCGAACTTTGCAAGATGACACACATTAGGTATGGGACTGCCATAGGTCGGTGAGGGCCGGTCACCATGCCCCCCCCCCCCCTTTAAGAAGGAGCAGCTCTTATTTTGAACACCAACAATTCCTACGATGTATGAAATGGGGGCTTTGTCTTGCGCAGTTTTCTGAGAGTTCTTGAGCCGTTCATATCACCTCAACGTGCAAACAACTCAACCACAGTGTAATTATGTTGTGTTGTTGTTGTTGTTGTTTGTACTGAGAAATAGAGAGGAAGACGGAGAGGGGAATAGGGGATAGATGAAGTAGAGAGGAGTGGGGGAACAGAAGGGGATAGGTTGAGAGTGAGGGATGGATCAGGAGGGGGAAATGGGGCAGAGAGACCCAGGCGCTGCCGGGTACCTCCATGTAACACTGCCATTCATCAAGCATTAACCCAACAAAATGCGAAACCTGTACATCTTCACACAGTCAAGGAGGCCTTGTTTACAGTTACAATAACAAACTTGGCTTAGGAATTTACAGCTCGTAAACTGTTTAATAACTGTAAACAACGTCGCTATGATTAAGGGGAAGATGTAGCGGTTTCGTTATGGGTAGGGTAAATACTTCATCAATCCTGAACCTGACTTCCCTCAAACTTTACCTCGTTGAAACAAGGGGCTGGGCTCACCCCGAGTGTCAGGGGCTGGGCTCACCGCCAGTGTCAGGGGCTGGGCTCACCACCAGTGTCAGGGGCTGGGCTCACCACCAGTGCCAGGGGCTGGGCTCACCACCCAGTGTCAGGGGCTGGGCTCACCACCCAGTGTCAGGGGCTGGGCTCACCACCAGTGTCAGGGGCTGGGCTCACCACCAGTGTCAGGGGCTGGGCTCACCACCAGTGCCAGGGGCTGGGCTCACCACCCAGTGTCAGGGGCTGGGCTCACCACCCAGTGTCAGGGGCTGGGCTCACCACTCAGTGTCAGGGGCTGGGCTCACCACCAGTGTCAGGGGCTGGGCTCACCACCAGTGTCAGGGGCTGGGCTCACCACCAGTGTCAGGGGCTGGGCTCACCACCAGTGTCAGGGGCTGGGCTCACCACTCAGTGTCAGGGGCTGGGCTCACCACTCAGTGTCAGGGGCTGGGCTCACCACTCAGTGTCAGGGGCTGGGCTCACCACCAGTGGCAGGGGCTGGGCTCACCACCAGTGTCGGGCTGGGCTCACCACCAGTGTCAGGGGCTGGGCTCACCACCAGTGTCAGGGGCTGGGCTCACCACCAGTGTCAGGGGCTGGGCTCACCACCAGTGTCAGGGGCTGGGCTCACCACCAGTGTCAGGGGCTGGGCTCACCACCAGTGTCAGGGGCTGGGCTCACCACCAGTGTCAGGGGCTGGGCTCACCACCAGTGTCAGGGGCTGGGCTCACCACCAGTGTCAGGGGCTGGGCTCACCACCAGTGTCAGGGGCTGGGCTCACCACCAGTGTCAGGGGCTGGGCTCACCACCAGTGTCAGGGGCTGGGCTCACCACCAGTGTCAGGGGCTGGGCTCACCACCAGTGTCAGGGGCTGGGCTCACCACCAGTGTCAGGGGCTGGGCTCACCACCAGTGTCAGGGGCTGGGCTCACCAACATAGTCAGTGGCGGCGCTCACCATCAGTGTCAGGGGCTGGGCTCACCACCAGTGTCAGGGGCTGGGCTCACCCCCAGTGCCAGGGGCTGGGCTCACCACCAGTGTCAGGGGCTGGGCTCACCACCAGTGTCAGGGGCTGGGCTCACCACCAGTGTCAAGGGCTGGGCTCACCACCAGTGTCAGGGGCTGGGCTCACCACCCAGTGTCAGGGGCTGGGCTCACCACCCAGTGTCAGGGGCTGGGCTCACCACCCAGTGTCAGGGGCTGGGCTCACCACCAGTGTCAGGGGCTGGGCTCACCACCCAGTGTCAGGGGCTGGGCTCACCACCCAGTGTCAGGGGCTGGGCTCACCACCAGTGTCAGGGGCTGGGCTCACCACCCAGTGTCAGGGGCTGGGCTCACCACCAGCGCCAGGGGCTGGGCTCACCACCCAGTGCCAGGGGCTGGGCTCACCACCAGTGCCAGGGGCTGGGCTCACCACCAGTGCCAGGGGCTGGGCTCACCACCAGTGTCAGGGGCTGGGCTCACCACCCAGTGTCAGGGGCTGGGCTCACCACCCAGTGTCAGGGGCTGGGCTCACCACCAGCGCCAGGGGCTGGGCTCACCACCCAGGGTCAGGGGCTGGGCTCACCACCAGCGCCAGGGGCTGGGCTCACCACCCAGTGTCAGGGGCTGGGCTCACCACCAGCGCCAGGGGCTGGGCTCACCACCCAGTGTCAGGGGCTGGGCTCACCACCAGCGCCAGGGGCTGGGCTCACCACCCAGGGACACTCTTATCTCTGGAACTTCTCCTTGCTCTACTGTGCAAGGAATTTCACATTGAGTTCCTCGCACACTTCCTTGTCGTTTGTAGTGAATCCGTCTGCCCCTATCTTCACCTTCATTACCTGTTCCTTCACTGTTGTTTTTCTCCTGATGTGGCTGTGCAACAATTTAGGTTGAGTCTTTGCTTTGCTTGATATGTCATTTTCATTTTGCCTCTCTACCTCTCTTCTCACCCTGACGTATTCATTCCTGGCACTGGTATTTTTCTCTGCTCTCCAGTGTCCTGTTATTTCTATAGTTTCTCCATGCCCTTTTACTTTGCTGCTTTGCTAGCCTACATCTCTGATTAAACCATACTTACCTCTGATTAAACCGTGTGTGTACTCACCTAATTGTGCTTGCGGGGGTTGAGCTTTGTCTCTTTGGTCCCGCCTCTCAACTGGTGTACAGATTCCTGAGCCTACTGGGCTCTATCATATCTACACTTGAAACTGTGTATGGAGTCAGCCTCCACCACATCACTTCCTAATGCATTCCATTTATTAACTACTCTTGACACTGAAAAAATTCTTTCTAACGTCTCTGTGGCTCATCTGGGTACTAAGTTTCCACCTGTGTCCCCTTGTTCGTGTCCCACCCGTGCTGAAGAGTTTGTCTTTGTCCATCCTGTCAATTCCCCTGAGAATTTTGTAGGTGGTTATCATGTCTCCCCTTACTCTTCTGTTTTCCAGGGACGTGAGGTTCAGCTCCTTTAGCCTTTCCTCGTAGCTCATACTTTTGAGTTCCGGGACGAGCCTGGTGGCATACCGCTGAATCTTCTCTAAGTTTGTCTTGTGTTTAACTAGGTATGGACTCCAGGCTGGAGCTGCATATTCCAGGATTGGTCCGACATAGGTGGTATACAGGGTCCTGAACGATTCCTTACACAAGTTTCTAAAGGCAGTTCTTATGTTGGTGTTCAGTTCTTGTGTGTGTGTGTGTGTGTGTGTGTGTGTGTGTGTGTGTGTGTGTGTGTGTGTGTGTGTACTCACCTATATGTACTCACCTATATGTGCTTGCAGAATCGAGCATTGACTCTTGGATCCCGCCTTTCTAGCTATCGGTTGTTTACAGCAATGACTCCTGTCCCATTTCCCTCTCATACCTAGTTTTAAAAGTATGAATAGTATTTGCTTCCACAACCTGTTCCCCAAGTGCATTCCATTTTTCTACTACTCTCACGCTAAAAGAAAACTTCCTAACATCTCTGTGACTCATCTGAGTTTCCAGTTTCCACCCATGTCCCCTCGTTCTGTTATTATTACGTGTGAACATTTCATCTATTTCCACTTTGTCAATTCCCCTGAGTATTTTATATGTCCCTATCATATCTCCTCTCTCCCTTCTTTTCTCTAGTGTCGTAAGGTTCAGTTCCTTCAGCCGCTCTTCATATCCCATCCCTCGTAACTCTGGGACAAGCCTCGTCGCAAACCTCTGAACCTTCTCCAGTTTCTTTATGTGTTTCTTCAGGTGGGGGCTCCATGATGGCGCGGCATACTCTAAGACGGGTCTCACGTAGGCAGTGTAAAGCGCCCTAAAAGCTTCCTCATTTAGGTTTCTGAATGAAGTTCTAATTTTCGCCAGTGTAGAGTACGCTGCTGTCGTTATCCTATTTATATGTGCCTCAGGAGTTAGATTAGGTGTCACATCCACTCCCAGGTCTCTTTCTCGAATCGTTACAGGTAGGCTGTTCCCCTTCATTGTGTACTGTCCCTTTGGTCTCCTGTCACCTGATCCCATTTCCATAACTTTACATTTACTGGTGTTAAACTCCAGTAGCCATTTCCCTGACCATCTCTGCAGCCTGTTTAAGTCCTCTTGGAGGATCCTACAATCCTCGTCTGTCACAACTCTTCTCATTAATTTTGCGTCATCTGCAAACATTGACATGAATGATTCCACTCCTGTAAACATATCATTTACGTAAATTAGAAAGAGGATTGGTCCCAGCACCGATCCTTGAGGTACTCCACTTGTTACCGTTCGCCCGTCCGACTTTTCGCCCCTTATCATTACCCTCTGGCTCCTTCCTGTTAGGTAGTTCTTGTGTGTGTGTGTGTGTGTGTGTGTGTGTGTGTGTGTGTGTGTGACCTCTACACCGTCTTTTTTTTTGTCCACACACACACACACACACACACACACACACACACACACACACACACACACACACACACACACACACACACACACACACACACACACACACACAGGAAGCAGCCCAAAGCAGCTGTCTGACTCGCAGGTACCTATTTTACTGCTAGGTGAACAAGGGCTATGAGAAAGACGAAAGCCACAAGGAGAAAGATAAGGGCGATACCGAGAATGAATGCAGAAACG